GGGGAAAGGGGGGGCAGAACTAGGGGAGAGAAGCTGCAGATACACAGTTCCTCAGCCCAATCCCCTGCCCTCCTGACTCAGCAGCATACGTCTGTTGAGTCACAAAGGTTGATCTAATTCATGGTGCTTTCTTGGCAGCACCATGTGTTATACCAAGGAGCTGCACATCTGTCAGCACCCAGTGTGACCTAAACCATAGAGAAAGTGAGTGGCTGGAGCCTCTGTAGCAGCTAGAGCTTTTCTGTCATATTCACTTTCAGCTTCACATGCAACAAATTACTACAGACTTCCCTCCAGGTGTTAAATGCCTGAGTCACTGTAGCCAAGTCTTTGAGTGAAGGGAACATAGTTTTATAGCCAGATACAGCTGAAAGATGGTACTTTTAGTTGCCAAGGATACTAGGTGATCCAAGCTTAATGGACCCCACACTTCACACCACTTTGATAAACAGGGGCTGTATGCCTTCAGCGGTAGGTGGAAACAACAGCTCAGTTGTTTCTTTAAAACATTCCCATTTCCATCTAGCATCTTTTCAGTTTTGCATGGATTCAGAAGTAGCCTGCTTCTCTTTATCCAAGAATAGGCTTTTTTTAAAGCAGTCTGAAGACTTGGTAGGGGCACGGCTTGCATCACTGTGTCCTGGGCTGGGTTTATGGAAAGAGGGCTGCATATTGATCTCTGATCAATAGGACACTGTCCAGGTACAGAAGTCATTGTTACAAGAAACTCATGCAGCATGGAACCAGCTTAATAATGGCTATGGAACATGCCTATTAGAGTTTGTGTTATGCTGTCATATTAAGCAACAATAGATCATGATATTCAAAGAGATGAGGCAGCTTGCCAGTTTTTCTATACTCTGCACTAATATCCAGTGAATAACTCTCTTTTCTTCTATTTCATCTGCTATTGATTTCAAAGCTAAGAGTTTATCACAAGATGTGAGGACTGAAACAAGGTAAAGGACATGGATCTCTTCCATGAAACAAACGCTGTGGTGAAATTTGGGCACCTTTAAGTTATAGATTCCCTTGAACTGCATCATTTGCATTGCAATTTAGAACCTTCTCAAGCTTGGGGGGGTATTTGGATTTGGGAATTTGAATATATCTCATCTGTGGCTCTGAGACCCACAATGCAAACCTCTGCTTCTGTTGCTGTTGCTATCTGATCTAAGGTCATTGAGTAGGGTTCATGTCCATACTGAAGACAGTTGTTTTAAGACCTGGAAGCTGAGAATTTTGCTTACCACAAAATCTGCGTCTGAAATACAATCATGTATTTTTCTTCATCTCCTTTCACATCACTGCTGATTATCATTGATGCTGGCTGGAAAAAGGAATCATTCTCCTTTGTAATTATCTATATACCACAGCTTAACAAATATCTCCACAGCAACCTTTTCCCCTGCCAGGCTGTGCACATATTTGCAACTGCTACTTGGTGGCACAAGCAAGATTTATGGCTTATGGGTTGATGCCCAGAAACCCAAAATATTGGCAGGGATTTGGGAGGCTGATTATTTTCTATTAGGGAGAAAACCTGGCTCATCAGTAGTTTTGCTATTAACCCTAATGGGGCTAGGATTTCACCCTTGGACTATCAGAGATTGTGAATAACAAAAGAAAATGTTGCAGTTTCATGTACTGCCAGTTTGTGAACCTTTGACTTAAAGTGGCTGCAGTGATACTTAGCACCATTATGTGAGCATACAGGCAGCCTCTGAAAGCAGTGTTCTGGACCTATTCATTGCACTCTCCTTATACCTAATGAGCAATAAGTTATTTTGTTTATTGACTATCTTATCCTGCAGCTATTCTGCAATATGCTACCAAACACTCTCTCATGTTGTGGAAACTTCATATTTTATTTTGGAAACTTGGCTAGTGGCAAGCTAACCACAGAGGCTAGGAATAGAAAGAGCAGCATATATGCACATGAGAGAATAGTTTGACAAAATTATAATAAATTACAGAAATTCTACATTTCTTACACAGAGAAGCACGGATTATTATTATAGTTTTTATGGCATGATAGTTCCTTGGTATTTGTGAGGATGGCAGAGTGCTGTTTTTCATAGCCAAATATTTCCTGTACAGGTTTCCAATTTGTTTTGAGGATAAAAAGAACTCTCAGGTTTTTCTTATAATTGAAATATTGTTAAAGATCATAATAGATTTTTCCCCTTTAGAAATGATGAACTAACAATGAGTCAAACTCTGAGCTCTTACTGAGAGCAAACTCTGGAGGGGGGAAAAAGGCCCTACATTTGCTAATATAAGTAGTCTCCTTGGCTTTGATGGGACTATTCCCTGTGAGTAAAGTCATTTGTGGAATCTGCAGGCTGAGGCCTTCAGTTTGAACTGATTCATTATTTGGGGAAAATATCTACCGAAGTCAATTGGCAAGTTTATCTGGGTACAGACAGAATATAAACTGAGAAAGGAGTTGAAGTTCAGGCCATAATGAATAGCCCTGTTCCCCAAATATAAAAAGAGGAAGGCTCTGGACTAGCCAGGATAAATATATTTCTTGTTGGAATATTTTTGCTTTGTAGGCAATATGTAACGTTTAGTCATTCATATGCTAAATACCATGCGGGT